AACAACAACAACACATACAATATTAAGGAGCTCTGGTAGCGTAGTGGTTACGAATCAGGCTGTGAACCTTAAGGTCAGCGGTTCGAAACTACCAGCCGCTCCGTGGGAGAAAGATGAGGCTTTCTACGCCCATAAAGATTTACACCCTCGGAAACCCTGTACAGGGTCGCTATGGGTCAGAACTGACTTGACGGCACTTAACAACAACAACAACAACATACAATATTAAATCCTGCAAGGATGGCGGTTCAGGCTCACCAGCTGCTCCTCAGAAACTCTATACAGGGTCACTATGGGTCGGAATCAACTCGACAGCACTCAACAACAACAACACATACAATATTGCAGCATGTAATTTACTGTTGCTGTTCTCATGGCGGAGTCCTGAGGTAAGCACTCAACTACAAGGTCAGTTTGAACTACAAGGTCAACAGATCAAACTCACCAGCCACAGCTCAGATACCCTATACAGGTTCGCTATGGGTCAGAACCAACTCAATGGCACTTACCAACACAATAATTCTCATGACAACCCCCAGAGACAAATAAAGTTTGGATTTATAAAGATATTGCTAACAAAAGGCAATAATAATGAAAAATAAAAGGCAAAAAGGTATTTGACTTGTCAGAATGGACTTACAGCCGAGTCATTGAAATGAAACCCTACTGTAAACCTAGAGCGCCTATGATGCACGTCCCCATCCATGCTCTCTATGCTACCTTGTGAAGTATCTATACACATATTATCATTATTATTAGCTGCCTTTTTCAATGAGGGACCTGAAACTTACAAAAGCAAACTGACTTGTCCATGGTCAAACAGCTCCTAAACAGTTGATAGGGAACCCAACCCCACAAATCCATGCCTCCTAACTCCATATCCTGAGACTCTTTCTCCTCCTCCACTGTGCAAGTCCTGACTCCCTCATGCTTTCTAAGGGATCCCTACCACCCAACACCCAGCACTGACCGCCCATCACATCCCCAACCCTCTAGACCAAGACCCATTTCTCCCATCCACCCACAACTACGCCCACCTCACTTCCGCCCTTGCTTTTCTGAGCTTAAGAGCCTTATCACCTCCTGCAGCAGCTCATTATAATCGTCCTCTGAGCAGCTGCCACGACCCTCCTCTTCCACCTCTTCCTCTTCCTCCTCTTCTGCTGCCATGCTCTTCTCCAGTTGAATCTCATCCCCCTCTACCTGGTTTAGCTGCAGGCTGGACCCAAGCAGTTTGGCTACCTCCAAGCCATCTCCTTCTCCTGAGTGACTCTCAGGCCCTGAGGCCACTGCGTCAACGGGGTCCAACAGTGACTCATTCTTACAACTTTGGCCCAGGCCCTTTTGGTCCTTGGTTGCCTGGATCATCAACACAGGGAGTCCCTGATCAGAGTTGGGGTCCCCAGCACCAGCATCTCCAGGCTCCTCTGGGGCACCGCCAGCTGGAGCCTCTGCCCTGAGCCCTGAGGCAGGGGTCGGTGGCCCTTCTTCCTGCCTGCGCAGCATCCGAGGCACATACAAAGCCTGGTCTGGCTTGCGTCCACGATGCCACTGGCCAGCCCGTGACCCTCGGGGACCAGCAGCCGATCCCTGGTTTGAGTTAGGCCGAGAACCACGATACTTGCCAGGGTGGGAGCCAGGAGGGCGGCATGGGCCAGAGAGGCCATCTGAATTGGGCAGCCTGGAGAAGGGGCAGGAGGAGAAAATAAAGAGTGCTATTTAGACTCAAAGGAAAGTAGTGACTGCAGCCACCTCTCATTCAGGTGAGTGGTTTTCAAGTCAGCTTTAGGCCAAAACCAAAGCCAAAAGGACCCTTGAAAATCTCCTAGAAAGACATACTGAGGGCAGCATGCCGTCTCTCACAGGTCCACAGCAGTTAGTTCTCCCTCCCCACCTTCCTCAGTTATAAACGGCATCAGAGAACCAAATATTTGGCTGCATAACAGGTGAGGTAAATGCTTGCAGATTAGGAAAACGTCTAACTTTAACCACTAGGATCACAGGCATTAGGATAAGATGCTCATCCCGCCAGATCCACGTGGAAACTGAGATGACTGAAGGACAGTAAAGCTGCTGCTTCCACTCTCTGGTCTCAGCAGGTACAAGCTCGGAGAGGAGCGTCAGGCACACTCACTACTCCTGCCCAAGGTGTAGAGCTGAATGTGAGTCAGTCAATGCCACAGCAATGCACGTCGACTCCATTACTGAGCTGAAAGCAAAAGGCAGCACTGACTAAGCCACTGAGGCTTAGAAGACGGGCAGCAGCCGAGGGGTTCCAACCCTGGTTCCTGATAAGCTTTTCCTTCCCGGGGGGCTGACTAGCTAACCCCCTCCATCCATAATGAACGACTGAAAGCCCTCCAAGGTGGCAGGATACATACGATACACACCTGATGTCCAGGTGACAGATGACTGTCCTTCTCCTCCAGCCTTCCCCAACAGAGAAGCTGCTCAAGAGATCAAAATTCTCTGCTGTTCTATGGATCAGGTACCGGAGGCGACTGGAGAGTGGGGGGAAAAGAAGCACCCTAGGAAGGGACAGGAAGGAGTGCTGAGAAGGGGGTACAGGTCCCATCCCTAGGGCCTCAGCCCTACAAGGTCTACCCCCAGTATAAGGACGACTTAACACTAGGCTCCTTTGGACCCCTTGGATCCCAGATTAATTCCAAAGGCCCTGAGCCTATATAGAGATTATCACGCAAGGGTACACTGGGAGTTACTGGTACCATCCCTATTCCTGGGATGGGCCCCTTCAGCCCTGGCATCCCCACAACAGCATACGTATTTTCTTCATGAGAAAACGGAGACCCAGAAAGATGAAATAACTTACCCAAAGTTACAAAAACAATAAATTCTAGATTCTTTCTTTGAACCAAAGTGGTCTGATTCCAAAGTCTGCTCTGTATTTCTTTCCCATGGCAGTATATTCAGAACTACCAAGGAAAGCTACAGTTGGGAGAGGCCAGAGAGAAGACCTTACTAAAACTAAATAAAGGCCAAGGTCCGAGTCCACTGCGAGCCAGTAATCTCACTGAGGCAGAGGACCTGGGCGGCTCTGGGGGAACCCTTCTCTTCCTAGGAGCAAAGCAGGCACAAGCAGCCACAACCTCTCCATCGCGCTCACAGCAGCTTACTTAGACAGCTGCTTCTGCAGCAGAAAGCGGTCGAGCTCCTCCCGAATGTGGTGGACAAAGTCATTTTCGGCTGCGGAGAGGAAGACACCGTCCAAGCAAAGAAGGGCCAGGATGACAGCTGGGAGAGCCTGTAAGGAGATGGGCAGGGCTGGGGATCAGAGCACAGATGCAGACCCACCCACAACCCGGGTGACAGGACCTCTGGTCCCACGTTTATTCTCTTCCAAGAGAGGGTGCACGCTGAGGGCAGGGCAGGTGGTGTGCCCAGGCCCCTCCAGACAAGTCAATGGAAGGGAAGCGGCGAGACCTCTCCTGAACCCTACTTCGGGTGCTCTTCCCACTACACCACCAAGGGCTAAGGGCTGGTATCGATTCCGGGGCTCCCGGCTCTCCAGCTGCCGCCTACGGCAGGAGGAGCGTCAGGCTGACCTCCTGGGAGCGCCCACCGCACAGGCGACTGCAGGGACCCGGGGTCCCAGGGGCGGTGCTGAGACGCAGAACGCTGTGCCATTCAAGTCGGAGAGGGTTCCCCGGCTCTCCCCCTACCCTCGCCGGTCCCGCCTTCCGGGCAGACGGGGTGGGGGTGGGATGGGGACTTGGGGCCTGCTTCTCCTGGGCCGAGTGCCCACGCGGGAGAGGAGATAACTCCACGGCCGGCGGACGGACTGCGGCAGAGTGGCGTCACTTCAGCGCAGGAGAGAAAGCCACCTAGGCTAGTGTGGAACCAGACCCAAGGTGGGGAGATGTCGCCCCCCGGGCCACCGGCCCCACTCACCGCGGCCACACCGCCGCGTCTCGCTGCTCTAAGGGTCCCTAGAAGCCTCCTGTCCCCCGAGCTCCGAAGGGAAAACTCAACCCTCGTTGGAGACGCAGCGCCACCGCGCGGACTGGGGGAGGCATTGCAGGGACAACTTAAAAATTGAAAAGACGTTTTGTCAACGGAACCGTATCTACAGCACCTTAACAACAATCAGTGGATTATGAGCTGGGCTACTAACCGCAAGGTCACCAGTTCGAATTTACCAGAAGCTCCTAGGGAGAAAGATGCGGCTTTCCGCTTTGATACGATGAGTAAGAACTGACTCCATGGCACACCATCACTACCACCATTTGGCCCCAACACCTGTCACTTATCCCCACAATGACATGAAAAAACAGTGGCCCAGAAAGTAGAAATACTTTGCCCAAAGTTACAAAGAGTACATTCTAGATTCTTATACTTTGAGAGGCGGTAGGTCTGATTTCAAAGCCTGCTGTTTTTTTCGGGGGAGGGGGGTTCTTTTCACCATGACAGCACACTGTCCTAAAATCAACTACTTTCAGCAAATACGTTTGAGTCCTGGTGTGAAGCTGAAGAACAAGCAGTGGACTGCTAATCAAAAGGTCAGCAGTTCAAACCCACCAGCCGTTCCTCAGGAACCTATACAGGGCCACTATAAGTCAGAACTGACTCAATGACACTTAACAACAACAACAATAATATACGTTAGGTAGTAGAGGCATCTGATTTTCCAGTCTCCTACCTAGGATCATAGAGAGGAAGGACGTTTCTAAAGCATCCTTTGCCTATTTCTGGCCTCCTTCCTCCCTTCCATTGATTGATACCACAGAGAGGTCAACCAAACAAACACACAGGAGTCATTGACAAGGAGTATGACCCTTGTGGGTAACTGGACTGGGTCAACATTATTAGCACAGTGATTTTCAGGATACCAAATTATACTAACCTGCTTTATTCAGAAAAACTTTAGCACCTACCTTAAATAGGTCTTGAAATCCTTACCATCAGACAGCCTGTAGGATGGGCTATTTTAACCTAGAAGACCAAGGGTGAAATCCTCTGTTCCCTGAGAGGTTTTAAACTGTAAGCCCCTGAACATCTGACTCCACAAGCCCAGAGCAAAGCGGAACCCTGAATAAATCGTATTTAAGAGACGAGGCTTTCTACTCCTGTAAGGATTTACACCCTCGGAAACCCTGTTCAGGGTCACTATGGGTCGGAACCGACTCAACGGCACTTAACAACAACAACAACAAGAGCTGTGTTTGGGAACAAAGTGGGACATTCTGAGTGAGCCCTACCATAGGGGATGACTAGGGATGAGGAGAAGCCAACAAAGTGCAGAGAGCTAGGAAAGGAGAAGTGAAGAAAAATTCAGATGTATTTTGCTTTCTTGTAATTTTTTCCAGAGTACTTCTTCAAATGATGATTGTATTATACCAAGTTTACTAAAATAATCTTTCCAGATTCCCCCACAAAGCATAAAGAGGGCCCAGTATAAAAACAAGGTGCTTTGATGATACAATGGTTAAGCGCTAGTGGTTAATGGACCTGCTAATCAAAAGGTCGGTAGTTCAAACCTACCAGTGATTGAGCAGCAGAAAAGACCTGGTGATTTTCACCCATAGAGATTACTGCCTAGGAAAGCCTATGGGTCAATTCTACTGTCTTATAGGATCATTATGAGTTTGAATTGACTGGATGGCACACAACAACAGATTTTACTAACCACTGGACTACTGGACCATGTAAACACGAGTCTCTACTACCCTGAGATCAGAAGAAAGTGCCCAGCTACCACTACCAATTGCTATGAAAAGGATCACATTAGAAGGTCCTGGATAAAGTGGAAGAAAAATGTGGAAAAAAACCACAAAATTGTAAGAGACCAGGCTTATTGGTTAGAATGGTGGAACCCCAAGACCGTAGGCTTTAGTCAACCTTCACGTCTGAAATGAGCATACCCCCATGGCTCAATTTTCAGCCAAACTATAGATAAGTCTTAATGTGCCGGATGGCAAAGTTGGTTTGAACCACAATGTCGCTGGTGCAAGCTCACAAGCTGCTCCTCAGAAACCCTATACAGACAGGGTCACTATGGGTCAAAATCAACTGGACAGAACTTAACATCATCATCATCACATCATAAGGGAACAGTAACAGTAGTTAGGCACACACACTTTAGAATACTTCACCATTTAAGATCAACGGGACAGCCTTTACCCAAGGAAAAAGTTCAGAAGAGTTAGGAAAGGAGGAGGAATGGAAACAAGAAACACAGAAAGGAAGTGGGCCAAGTGATGTTATATTGAGGGGATAGTAATCAGTGAGATGAAACATAGTGTGTCTGAATTGTTTAATGTAAAACTGATGATCTTCTCTATAAACCTCCATTCAATCCACAATAAAATGTCTTTAAAAAATAAACAAGGACAAAGAGAATCTGGGGAACCAAGTCACAAGTCTCTTTTCAGGGCGTGATTGTGAGAAGTCCTAAAGGCTTGTCTTGAAGGGACAGCCAACTCCTAGGGGGTAGAGTCATCATAATTAAACTTCTGAAAACCAAGCACAAAGGAAAATCTTGAAAACAATCAGGAAGTAAAAACAAATCCTGATCTATAGGAGAAGGATAATTCAAATAACAGCAGATTTCTCATCAGAAACCACGAGGCCAAAAAGAAGTAGCACGATGTTTGAGTGCTGAAAAAAAGAAACTGCCAACTAGGAATTCTATATCCAGTGAAAATACCCTTTATAAATGAAGTGGAAATTAAGACATTCTCAGACAAAGGAAGTAACAGAAATTGTCAACAGTTGTATTATCCTAAAAAAAAATAATAATAATAACTAACATTTTCTCAAGAAAATGGAAACAATAAGAGATAATTAGAGTAAACAAAGGAGCTCTGGTAGGTTAGTGGTTACAAATCGGGCTGCGAACTGCAAAGTCAGCAGTTCTTCCTCCCGCGGAAGAAAGATGAGGATTTCCGCTCCCATAAAGATTTGCAGCCTCGGAAACCCTATACAGGGTCACAATGAGTCGGAAACGACTCCGCGGCACATAACAACAACAACAGTAAACAAAACTAAGGTTTTCCATCTTCCTTTGAGTCTTCTAAATTATATTTGGTTGTTGAAACAAAAAGTATAACACTGTCTGTTTTTGTGTACATCCCCACCCCACCCTCTCCACACCCCTCCCCAAAAAACAGAGGGAATAGAAGCAAACACTGTTGAATGATGATGCACGGAGGAGACTGTAATCATTACAATGAAAAAATGAGTGTAAAACTGACGTTCCCCCATGGGAACTATTATGCAATTCACAAAAACGTTTTAAAAAAGTATAACACTGCCCAATGTAGTTCAAAACCTATGTAGAAGAAATATATTTATGATAACTATAATATAAACTGGAGTCCTGGTGTGGCACTGTAGGATAAGAACTTGACTATAAGATCGGTTTGAACCGTAAGGTCAGCAATTCAAACTCACTAGTCACTGCTTAGAAACCCTATACAGGGTCGCTATGGGTCGAAACTGACTCGATGGCACTTAAGAACAACAGCAACATAGTAAAAACTGGGCAGGATAAATGGAGTTTTACCATTCAAACTTTAAAAACGAGCCTACCAATAGATTGTGATAAGTTATATGTGATTCAGAACCACCACTAAAAAAGCAATACAAAAGGATACACTTTAAAATACTTAAGATAAATCAAAATGCAATTCTTAAAAAAAGCCCGAGGAAACCACAAAAATGTAGGGAAAAGAAAACAGAAACAAAAAACAGTGGATGAAAATAAAATAGCAGATTTATACATCTTTCTGCTGTAGAGTGGTTAGTAGGTTCAAGCCACTAATCTTTACAGTTTGTAGCTGAGCACTTAACCACTGCACCACCAGGGTTATTTATGCCCTAACATATCTCTATAATTACACTAAATACAAATGGTCTAATTATATCAATTAAAACAAAGAGCTTGGCAGAGTTAATTTAAAAAAATGGGATTGAACAATATACTATCTGTAAGAAACTACTTCAAATATAACAATATGGGTAGTGTAAAAGTAAAAGAAAGGGGGGGAAAGATACATCATGCAAACATTAATCAAAGGAAAATGAGTGGCTATATTAATATTGGATAAAGTACACTTTAGAGCAAAGGAATTACTAGAGACAGGCAGGGACTTCATATAATAAAAGGGTCAATCCATCAAGAAGACAGAGTAGATCTGAATATATATACACCAAACAGCAGAGCTGTAGAATATGTAAAGCAAAAGCTGATAAAACTGGAAAGAGAAATAGATAAACTATAATTATGTTGGTGATTTCAACACCCTTCTCTAAGCAGTTGACAACAGAAAATCAGGAAAGATATAGAACTCTCCAATACTATCACCTAACAGGATCTAATCAACATGTATAAAGCATTCCACTCAACAAGAGTGGGCAGCACATACTTTTCAAGTTCCCAGAGAACATACCATATCCTAGGCCATGAAACAAGTCTCTGCCAATTTGAAACAAATCAAGAAAGTATGTCTTCCAACTGCAATGGAATCAAATTAGAGACAAACAGCAGAGGGGTAACAGGAATATCTCCAAACACTTGGAAACTGAACAACATAATAAATAAACCATGGAAATCTAGAGGGATTTGTTTTTTGTGGGGTTTTTCTGCAGAATATTGTTACCATTGGGGGAAACGGTAATAAAGGGCACATGGGATTTCCATTTTATTTCTTAAAACTGTATGTAAATCTACCATTATCTCAATAAAAATTTCAATTCAAGAAAAATCTATCAAATTTATGAATAATTTAACATATATGAGGAAAATAAGAACAAATGTTTAAGGGAAATTTGTTCTGTCATTTTGAACTTATCTGAGTTGTTCTCATTTTATATAAAATGAGATTAGCTATGTCAATATATATTAGCTAATATAAAATATATTAGCTATGTCAATAAAATAATATTCATAAATGGAAAATAAACACTTAATGAAAACCAGGTAGATTTGTTACTTTTATAGATTAATATTTTAAAATCTAAATAACAAGAAGCTTTTTTGGTATGAGTAAATAGCCTCTCTTA